GAAGGTGCGAGAAAAGAAGGTAAGGATTGGATTACAGGACGGTTAAGATTAGGTGCTCTCTTCTTTTTTTTAAAAAAAAAATATTTTTTTTATTGACTTTAGAGAGGAAAGGAGAGGAAGAGAGAGATAGAAACATCAATGATGAGAGAGAATCATTGATTGGCTGCTCACTGCACACTCTCTACAAGGGATTAAGCCTGCAACTGGGGCATATGCCGGAACGGGAATTGAACCATGACCCCTTTCCTGGTTCATAAATTGACTCTCAACCATTGAATCACACTAGCTGGGCAAGATTATGTGCTCTCTTGAAGGTGCTTATGGTTTATTTCAAAGGTGTGTTAACTACATGCACAGAAACAATGGACAGAGTTTGCTAAGGCAAAGGTAAACCTGATTACTTACAATGACCTGCCCAGTTAGAAATTTGTGATCAGCTCACCCTTTGAAGTTATTTTTCATAGAACTTTCTTTTTTTTGTTCTCAATACCAAATCTAGATTTAATACCTGATCTAAATCTCACTTCAACCTCTCCCAGAAATGTAATCTTAATCAACCAGTCTGGAATTTTCTGGTATTCTGTCACAGTGGGCCCTCTCTATCCCCCTTAGAAAGAAAACAAAATCTGCATGATACAAACCCTTCTGTTCTCTCCCTCCAAAGAAAAGGTGTCCTGGACCAAAAGTCATCTTTTTCTTTTTTCTTTCTCTTGTTAATAGCTCCCTTGCCTCACCCTTCTTCTTATAAAAACCTTTCATTTTGTACAAACCTTGGAGTATCCTTTTGTTGCTGGATGGGATGCTGCCCAATTCATTGAATTTCTTAAGTAAAAGCCAATAAGATCTTCAAATTTGCTCAGTTGAAAAATTTTAAACATATGTACAGAAATAACATAGTATATATAGAGTTTGGTACTATCTGTGGTTTCAGGCATCTGCTGTGGGTCTCGGAAAGTTTCCCTGGTGGGTAACAGGGAGCTACTGTAGTCTTGAGGTTGATCTACAATCTCTATCAAAATATCAGCTGGATTTTGGGTAAAAATTGACAAGCTGATCTCAAAATTCAAAGGAAAATGCAAGCAATCCCAAGTAGCCAAAACATCTTGAAAAAGAAGAAAAAATATTACAGGACTCATATTTTCCCAAGTTCAAAACTTACTACAAAGCTACAGTAAATAAGACCAGGTGTTACCGGTTCAGGATAGACATATAGATCAGTGGAATGGATTGGTATCCAGAAATAAACTTACATTTATGGTTAATTGACTCTTGAATAGGGTGCTGTGATTTTGTAATTTATGATAAGAAATACATATTTGGTCTTTATCCATGTTCCTGGCACAGAGCTTCTAAAATCCTTGGGACTTTTTAAGTAAGAAGAGAAATAAAGTTGTCTTTTGTTATGCATAAAAGATATGGGCTTGCCAGGGTAAGCAGCCCTGTGATTAGAGGATTGGGACTTTCAGTTCTTCCCCCTTTTCGGAGGGGAGAGGGGCCAGGAGATCGACTTGGTCACTAATGGCCAGTGATTTAATCAGTCATGCCTACATGATGAAGCCGCCATAACAATCCATGAGCCGTGGGCCTCAGAGCATGGATTGGTAAACAAGAACACTACAGGCGCTGGCCGTGAGCTGCACCCCAGGCCACACTGCGGCAGGTGCTCCTGTGCTCAGGGCCTTTCAGGACCCTGCTCTTGGTATCTATCTGGCTGTTCATTCATATATTTTAATATCCTTTGCAATACACGGGTAATCTAGTAAGTGAACTGGTTTCCTGAATTCTGCAAGTCCCTCTAGCAAATTAATCTAACCCAGCAAGGGGTCATGGGAATTTATAACCCATAGGCCAAAAGCACAAGGAACAACCTGGACTTGTGATTGGCCTCTGTAATGGGGGAGGGTGGGTAGGGCCTAGTTTTGTGGGCCTGAACCCTTAACCTATGGGATCTGATGGTAACTTCAGGCAGACAGTGTCAGAATTGGATTACATTGTAGGACACCAGGCTGATGTTGCAGAGTTCTTTGATGTAGGACGCCCCCCAACCCCCCCTCCACACCTGGTCACCGAAATTTTCATTGTCAGTAGTGCTATGAGTGGAGAGAAAGAAACAAACAGGAGAGTTTTTCTTCTTTGCATGTATCAAGAGAATTCATTGGGGAATTAATAGTTTCTTCAACAAACACTGTTGGGACGACTGGGGATTTATATACTAAAATGATGAATTTGGACTCTTACATCATGCATACATACTATAAATATTAACTCAAAGTGATCATACATGTAAATGTAAGAGATAAAATTATAAAACTCTTGGGAGAAAATCTGATCATGGGTCAGATAGCATAAGCGATAAAAAAAGATTGAAAACTTGAACTTTATAAGAACTGAAATTTTTTTTTGGCTGCAAATAATATAATCAAGTAAGTGAAAAAACAACTCATGAAGTGGGAGAAATATTTGCAAACCATATACCCAGTAAGGTACTTGAACCTATAATACATAAATAACTTCTATAACTCAATAACAAAAAGACAAATAACCAAATTTAAAATAAACAAAGGACTTATACATTGATCCAAAAAACAAAGAAATGACCAAGAAACAATAAAAAGATGCTCAACATCATTAGTTATAAGGAAAATGGAAATCAAAACCACAGTGAGCTAATACTTCACAACCTTTCAGATGGCCATCATCAAAATAACAGAAAATGACAAATGTCGTTCAAGAGGTGGAGAAATTTGAACCCTCATTTATTACTGATAGTAATGTAAAATGGTGCAGCCACTTTGGAAAACAGGAGGGAAGCTCATCAAATTGTAAACCAAAATTAATTTTAAACTTTAACAAAGAATAGAAGGCGTTTATTTGAGCAAAATGGAGCTGCAGCCCAGCAGACACATTTAGGTGACAACCTAAATTGTGTTCCACTGAGATGAAGGGGAAGCATCTTTTGTAAACAGCGGGGCATAGTGCAAAAGCCCAGAGCTCAGTCAGAGGTTCTTCCTAGTTGTACAGGGTATGTAACAAGCCCTACCAGCAAATGGCCACTAGGCTTTTATTAGTTACAAAATTTTGGCCCTCAGTTGACCAGAGGCAGTCCTTTTTAGCAGGTAAATTTCTTCTTGGATTCACATCAAATGAATCTTTCTTCTCAGCGTCCACATATTAAACAAAGAGTTATCATATGATTTACAGCTGCACTCTCAGGTGTGTATGTAAGTGAAATAAAAACATGCCAACACAAAAAGTTGTTCACAGTGGTATTAATCGTCAAAAAGAGGAAACATCGTAAATTTCCAATAACTGATGAATGGATATATATGGTATATCCATGCAATGGAATATTATTTGCCAATAAAAAGAAATGAGGTACTGATATGTGCTGTAAAATTGATGAACCTGGAAAATATTATGCCAAGTAAAAGGACCCAAATCCAAAAGACCACATATTGTATACTAGAGGCCCAGCATGCGAAATCACGCGAGATCCAGACCTGCTGCACCGGTGGGACCCCAGACCCGGCCTGCTTGAGCTGCAGGACCCTAGACCTGCCCTGTGCAAACCATGGGCCCCCAGACCTGCCCTGCATGAGCCACAGGACCCTCCTCTGCTGTGCCAGCCCCACCAGCCCTGCGTGAGCCCCACCTCACCGTGCAAGCCATGAGAGGTGCTCCATGCACCTCCTGGTGACCGATTGTTTGGTCATTCCACTGTTATGGCGTCACGACCACAGGCCTTTTATGATATAGATTTCCATTTATATGAAAAGTCCAGAATGGGAAATTCTACAGAAATAGAAAATAAACCAGTGGTTGCCTATGACTGAGGTAGGTGGGAGTGGAATGGTTTGGGGGAGAAATAGAGAATGACTGGTAATGGGTATGGAGTTTCTTTTTTGTTTTGTTTTGTTAATCCTCATTCAAGGATACTTTTTCATTGATTTTTAGAGAGAGTGGTAGAGAGAGGAAAAGACAGAGAGAAACATCAATGTGAAAGAAACACATCGATTGGTTGCCTCCTACAAGAGCCCCAGCCAGGGCCCGAGCCAGGGAAGAGCCTGCAACCAATGTATGTGCCCTTGACCAGAATTGAACCTGGGACCCTTTTGTCCTTAGGCCGATGCTCTCTCCACTGAGCCAAACAGACTAGGACAGGGGTCCTCAAACTACGGCCTGCGGGCCACATGCAAATACAAATATTGTATTTGTTCCCATTTTGTTTTTTTACTTCAAAATAAGATATGTGCAGTGTGCATAGGAATTTGTTCATAGTTTTTTTTTTTAAACTATAGTCCAGCCCTCCAATGGTCTGAGGGACAGTGAACTGACCCCCTGTTTAAAAAGTTAGAGGACCCCTGGGCTAGGGTATGGGGTTTCTTTATAGTGTGACAAAAATGTTCTAAAATGAATATTATAAAAATCATTGAATTGTACACTTTTAAATGGATGAATTTTATTGCATGTAATATGTATCTCAATAAAAATGTTAAGAGAAGAGTAAGCCAGTGCCTAGCATATGGTAAGAATTTAATAAATTTAAACTATGACATTTAAAAAATGTGTTAAGCACAAGTCTTTGGACAGTTTGCTATGTCTCTATAGTGGTGACGTATTGGGTCATGTAAAAAATGACTGAAGGTCTGAGAACATAGGAAAAGGGTGGTGACAATGTTAGAAAGAAGTCGTCTGGCAAGTAAGCTAATTTGGGGATGGAGAAAAAATAGGAGTTTCTTTGGGGGAATGTTGAATGTTCAAGTGGAAATGTCTCCTGAAAAGTAATAAAAAAAGAAATGGGTTTTATCCTCAGAACAGGAGAATTTGGGAAAAACAAATATGAAATCTTCTGGCTACTGTGATAAGCAAGAGAGAGTTTTCTAATCAGCTTGGGTGAGTTGATTAATATAACATTATATGTAGTGAAGTGATATAGATTGGGTAGTAATGGTTAAGTAATTTAAAAAAGTAAACTGGTTATTAAAAATGGTCTCTTATAGGTGTCTTCAGAAGACATATTCTTCACAACTCCCATCCCTCAGTGTCGTTCTCATATTCACGAATGAAGCTCTGTCCATTATACAACGGGCCATCACCAGTATCATCAACCGGACCCCCTCTCAATTGTTAAAGGAAATCATCTTGGTGGACGATTTTAGCTCAAATGGTGAGCTACTCGATCAAGGAATAGCAGTAAAATGACCATTTATCAACTGTGGTAGGTTGGAAAGGGGTTTTAGCTTAGAGTTTAGGACACTTTGGGCTCCTCATATAGGAAGAAGAAAGGGTTCATTTATTGATCCCAATTTTCAATGGGCACATTACTCTTCACAAAGTCAAGACAGAGGATCATCATCTCAATTACACAGATGAGGAAACAAAGACACAGTGAACACATAGTGTGCCCAAATTGTGTGGCCAGTCAGTGGTGGAGCTGAGCCAGGCCCAGAATTGTGTGACTCCAAAGCCACCTCTGCCCTGTCCATGCTCCATGAGAGAGGCCTGAGGGAGTGAGGTGGGGTCCAAAGGAGGATCTCAGACACCAAGGTTGAATTTAAGTCATTCCTTATGAGAAAAAAAAAATCTTTCTAGGTAGTTAAGCCCAGAGAAAAGATGAGATTTGGATGCTGAGACTCTTTACAGTGGCATTGCTCCCTCCTCACCCTGGTCTAACTCCACCCCCCTCCAATATCCCCCACAAGGAGGACACATGGAGAACTGGGAGATGGTGGGTAGACATGAGTCCTCATTTTCTGGGGTTTCAGAATCCAACTTCCTCCTTTACAAGCTCTACTAGAGGCCCGGTGCATGAAATTCATGCACGGCGGTGTGTGTGTATGTGTCCCTCAGCCCAGCCTGCACCCTCTCCAATCTGGGACTCCTAGAGGGATGTCTGACTGCTGGCTCTCAACTGCTCACCTGCCTGCCTACCTGATTGCCCCTAACTGCTTGTGCCTGCCAGCCTGATCACCCCCTAACCACTCCCCTGCCAGCCTGATTGATGCCTAACTGCTCCCCTGCCGGCCCAATTGCCCCTTACTGCCCTCCCTTGCCAGCCTGGTCACCCCTAACTGCCCTCCCCTGCAGGCCTGGTCACCTCCAACTTCCCTTCCCTGCAGGCCTGGTCCCTCCCAACTGCGCTCCCCTGCTGACCTGGTCACCCCTAACTGCCCTCCTCTGCAGGCCTGATTGCCCCCAACTGCCCTCCCTTGCAGGCCTGATCCCTCCCAACTGCCCTCCCCTGGTGGCCTGATCTCCCACAACTGCCCTGCCAGCCATCTTGTGGTGGTCATCTGTGTTCACATGGGGCTGGCCATCTTTGACCACATGGGGGCGGTCATCTTTTGTGTTGGAGTGATGGTCAATTTGCATATTACCTCCTTATTATATAGGATGTCCTTGAGTAATTTAATTTGTCCTTGTTACTACTTTCTTATTTGCAAAACATGGATGTTGATGAGAATAACTATCTCATAGACTATAATGAGAATTAAGTGAGATAATAATGGTAGCTAACACTGTTCTAAACACCTTACATATGCTAACTATTTTAACTATTACAAAAGTCCTATGAGGAAGGAGCTCCTTCTTTGCTCATTTCACAAATACAAAAAACTAAGGCATAATCTCGTCAAGGAACTTGGCCAACACAACTGGTAAATGATGGAATTGAGATTTGACCACAACTTCAGCATCTTAGAGCCCTAGCTCTAGTCACTGTTTTTATTGATATAATACGTGGATTATGAATAGCATTTAGCATATAGTAAGTGTTAGCTCTTAGTTTTATTAATTTTGGGCACTTAATAAAAGAAACTAGAATCACCTCACAAACCCAGATATTTGGGCTAGCAATTAGGAGGAAATTTTGAATAGTAAGGACTATAAAATGGCAGCCCATTAGAGGAAGAGTTCTCCCTTTCTGAGGATCTTTAAGTACCAGACAGGTTATTGTAGCTCCAAATTAACGGCTGTTTCACCAGAGGAGAAGAGACAAATGACCTCTTAAACCTTCATTTTTGGATTTCCAGACACTAAAAATACTCCTTTTAATGTTGTTTGTTTTTTTTTTTTAAATATATTTTTATTGATTTCAGAGAGGAAAAGGGAGAGAGAAAGATAGACATAGCAATGATAAGAGAGAATCATTGGTAGGCTGCCTCTTGCATGTCCCCTACTGGGGATCAAGCCTGCAACCCGGACATATGCCCTTGACTGGAATCGAACCCAGGACCCTTCAGTCCACAGGCCGACATTCTATCCACTGAGCCAAACCAGCTAGATATCCTTTTCATGTTTTAAATACCTTCCTCTCTTGTCCTTCCAATACAACTGCACACAAAAAATGAGGCGTTACAATTCCCAAGCAAAATTCCACCAGAAAAAAAGAAAAGAGAATGGCTGACTTCATTCATTTCTGGAAATGGAGGTCAACAGCCACTTGTATACCTGAATTTTAAGCAAGTAATAGGAGTGTAATTAGAAAGACCTCTGTTCCGGACACCTGAGAAGACCTGGCTCCACTCCCCGGCTCTCTGAGATGACCTGAGGCAAGTCAAGTCATCTCACCTCTCTGTGACTCAGCTTCTTCATGGGGCAAATGCAGGGGCTACAGTAGAGGGACTCTGAAGGTATCTTTTTCTATGAAAAAAAAAAATCAATGATTCTGTAAGTCTACATTCCATGAGGAGCAGATAAGAAATAATTCAAGACCTTTGCATGTGGACCAATGAAATTAAAGACACAAAATTACAAACATAGGGTAGACACATAACATAGTCCTTGTTTGTTCCATTGTGCCCCCATCATATAATGCATCCTCTCACTTGAGTTGAGAGTTCATTTGTGGTTTCCATAGAGATATATTTTTTGATGGGCACAGAAGAGAGAATTGTTAGTTGTTCTTTGTTGTCACTGGGACAGGAATCAATTTCTCTCTCATTAACCATGGAAACATCAGCTAGATTGGGCCTACACTGAACAGAACTCAAAAATCTGTTTTGTGCTACACTGAGAAAAAGAATTGGAAGTCTCTACCATGCATGCCACAAGATAAATTATTATTCATGTGACGGTGAGGGTAAGTCACTCAGCTACATTACGCCCCATTTCCTCATCTGTAACATGGGGGAAATAACACTGCCTTTCTGACAGGACCTTTCTGGGGATTAAATAACACTTGTAATGTCCTCAGAACAGGGCTTGCTCCCAATAAATGTTAGCCAGTGTTGTAATCCTTGTTTATCTCAGTATCATTTGTAGTACTATTGAGATGCTGCAATCTGGTATTAGAGGAGTGTCCCTTTCCTTCATTTCCCTAGATGTAAAGCTTAATTTGCATCAGATCAATTGTTTCACATCAAAAAAAGCTAATCTAAGTTTTTCAGAAATTATATTAATGTAGGTGGAACCCTGTATTTTCTCCCCAATTTTAGGCAAATTCCCCAATCAATAACTATTGAGTTTCTACCATGTGCCAGGCATTATGCATGGAAGAGAATGCCAGTGATTTCAAGAAGTTCCCATTTTAATTGATGAGGCAAGACAAACCTATGAAAAGACACCTCGATGTATGAAAAGTAGTGTGCCAAACTGAGTGAGCTGTCAGCGAGTGTAAGAAATCCCAGAGAAGTAATTGGGGTGACTTAGAGAGGCTTCCTGGAGGAAAGGGACTTGGGTTGGGACTTGAAAGCTTGGTAGGATTTGAAAAGCCAAAGAAAACAAAGGAAGACCGACTGGCTCTGGTGGGGTTACATAGGGAGTAGAGGAAAAAAACAACAAAAAAAAAGATGTGAGCAAAGATACAGAAGCCAGAAGCACCCTGAGCTGAACAGCCTGAAATAAAGAGTCTTTTGGGGGGTAGGAGTAGGGGGAGTATCAATGGGAGAGCAAGACTGAGAAGGAAACATAGGTTTACTTTAGAAGAGCCATTGAAGGGTCTTTAATTCTTATGTTGGACTATAGGCATTATTTCTGAAAGGGTGACTAGAAATCTACAGCTCATAGGACTTTGGAATTGGAAGGGTACTGACATGTTATCCAGCCTTCTCTAAGTTTTGGAAATAGAATTCCCCAAATGGGAAGTGACACAGAATTAGATAGTGAGGGAGCCCAAATTATAATCTAGATATCTAGAGTTTCTAGCAACCCCTTCTTTTCCTCCCCCACTGTTTTGGTTCCCAAGTTTAATTCAAGAACTCATGCAAAATATACCAGATAAATGAATTTTGATCCTCATCTTTCTCCTCCTCTTCATCCTGGTTTATCTGGAACTAATGTAATTCCTAACTCTCTTTGCCACATGCAACCAATCTCATAGATTATTCTCCAAATATTTTTTGTGTGTGAGATATTTCAAATATCTCTTTAAAAAAGAGCCTCAGGCCCTAGCCGGTTTTGCTCAGTGGATAGAGTGTCAGCCTGTGGACTGAAGGGTCCAAGGTTTGATTCCAGTCAAGGGCACATGTCCAGGTTGCAGGCTTGATCCCCGGTGTTGGGTGTGCAGGAGGCAACCGATCTATGATTCTCTCTCATCATTGATGTTTCTATCTCCCTCTCCCTCTCCTGCCTCTCTGAGATCAATAAAAATATGCGTGTTTTTTTAAAGAACCTCAGAAACTATGGCAATCTTGCTCTTGCTCCTTTCAATAGTTGCAATCCTTCACTGAGAGTCACAGCTTTTCTATTCACTTTTTCTTTCTTGAAGAAATTGTTCAAAATTGGCTGTAGTCATGATTCCATGTCCCACAGGGTGGGTGAAGACAAAGGTGAACTCCAGAGCCTGCTTCTTTGTTTGTTTTTGTCCTACTTTCCCACAAGCTTTCCCACAGATGCCGTGGTGGCAGCAGAAGCAGAAAAAAAATGTGTCAACCCCTTCTGATTACTTTCTAAAATTAGTGACAGAGTGAATTTAGGGAATTTCAACCTTTTATTTTTTTTCAGTAGGAGCAAACAGCCTTCAGGTCCATTGGCTCTCTTTAACACCTTCAATTACCCATTCACCATCCTGGAGTACAATAGGGAAAGTGCTAAAATGGGTATGATTTTAGCACCATAGTCATGTCGTTATTGATTCCAGGATTCACAAATCTAATCTTCTTCTGAGAAAGGAACCAGAAAGAATCTAATCTCTTGGCCACTGGGGGGTGTGACTAGGGGAGAGGAGATGGAGGGAAATCTTGATGAATCCAACCATTACATACATAGTTGAGGCAGCATGGCATGGTGGTTAAATACAACATGGGCTCACACTCAGGTATGCCACTTACTTGATGTGTGATTTAAACAAGTTTCTTAACCTCGCTGTGCTTCAGTTTTTTCATCTGTAAAGTGGGGATACTGGAAGTGCCTTCCTCATAGGATTTTTTGAGAATTAAATGAATTAATATTATCAGGGAGTCATTTGGTTAGATATTTTAAACATTGCTTAGTGATTTGTATGTAAGTTGTCTTCATACGTATGAGAAAGTCAACTAGTAGGCTTACCCAAAGAACAAATGCATAGATAGGTTTTATAAAAGAGAGGAGAAAGAGAGAAAAAGAAAACTATAAGCAATCTTGGAATAGTGAATCTTGTTTGCATAATTTTGGGGATATACTCATTAGCTGGAAGTTAGAAAAGGCATTAGTTGGGCATTCTGTCCCAGTTGGTCCTTGAGTAGGCCAAGTAGAAATAGCTAACACAAGACAAAACAATTTCAGTTGATTATGCATTCTTTAGAAAAATCTTGAGTTGTGGAGAAGATGTTGTGAGCTGTCTCTGCAATGTCTGACCATCAACATTTCTATCATAGTTAGATCAGGTCTGTCCTACTCATTCTTTTTTTTAAACATATTATTTATTTATCTATTTATTTTTAATCCTCACCCAAGGATATTTTTTTCCATTGATTTCTAGAGAGATTGGAAGGGAGAGGGAGAGACAGAGAGAAACACTGCTGTGAGAGAGAGACACATCGATTGAATGTCTCCTGCAGGGTCAGGAGCCTGCAACTGAGGTACGTGCCCTTGACTGGAATCAAACCCGGTCCCTTCAGTTCACAGGCTGATGCTCTATCCACTGAGCCAAACTAGCTAGGACTGTCCTATTCATTCTTGTTAAAAAATTTCAGTATACATAAACCTGGTATAACAATGTCTGGCACATAGTAAGCAATTTCTAAGGCAGTTTAACTTTGAGGGAAAAGAGACTAGAATGGTGCTATTAAGACTGAGGATGGAATAGAGAGGAAGGTGGGTGCAGGGGAAACAGTCAAGGTTGTAGAATCGCACATCCTAACCTGGAGATAGTTCAACCACTACTAACTATAGAATAGTATTACATTTCTGTACAAAACTGATCATTACATTCAGAATTTCTTTAAGTGTATATTTTTTTTGGCAGAAGAACTAAAGGCAAACTTGGATGAGCTTATTAAGCTTTATAACCAGAAGTATCCAGGACTACTGAAAATAGTACGGCATACCAAGAGACAAGGTCTTGCTCAAGCCCGCAACACTGGCAGGGAAACGGCCACAGCTGAAGTGGTAGCCATCCTGGATGCTCATATTGAAGTGAACGCTGGGTGGTAAGGCTCCAGATGGTTTCTTCTTCTGAAAAAAGGGAGAAAGGACATATTATAATGCTGAATACAAGACAGGATAGTGTGGAAATGGGGAAAGCCTACATCAGACCTTAAACACAAGGAAGCTACAAAGACAGGATGCTTTTACTCGAGGATTTTGGTTGGCTAAGGATAGTGCTGGAGCAAAAATAATGGGCTTGGCATATTGACATTGCACCCAACCCTGACTTTACCAAATACTTTGGGACTTTGTATATACATCACTTCATCTAACTTGATATTCATGCGCTTATCTATAAAATTGAAGAGATTGCCTTTCGGTAATTCCTAAGGTTTTTCCCAGCCCTGAAATTACATGACCTAAAGAGAGCTGTGTTCTTTGGAGAAAATGGAGAATCAGATAGTAAAGAGTTATCATTTTGGAAACAGGGTGACCCAAAGGTAATGTAAATTCAGGAATACTGATGGTCCTGGTTCACAGTAGCTCGGGGGTAGTATTTGGGTACTAATTTCAAATATGCTTTTGATGTGGGTCAGCTGCTAGCATCCCAGCTATACCAAAAGCTGAAGAACGTTCCTGGACTCTGGAGCGTTCCTCTCACCATCAAGCTCAGTCTAAATGAAGAAGGTGCTTAATGTCAGGGCAAGACATTAATGAAGAAGGTGCTTAATGCTTGGGGCACCTTTGTCTGCTTGCTCCTGCTGCTTACCCACATACCTAACCTGGGTTTGTTACACAACCTTTTTCTAGGGCAGAGCCCATCTTGGCCCGGATTCAGGAAGACCACACTGTGATTGTGTCTCCTGTGTTTGACAAAATTAACTTTGACACCTTTGAACTAGAAAAGTATGGATTGGCAGTTGATGGGTTTAACTGGGAACTGTGGTGCCGTTATGATTCACTGCCAAAGGCCTGGATTGATCTGAATGATGTCACCGCTCCAGTGAAGTAAGTCGGAGAGGTCTCAGGAATGTGGTTAGCACATGGGAAGTCAGGAATGAATGGGGTGTGGTGGTAGTAATGGAAGAAGGGTGAAAGGAATGAAGGACAGGGAATAAAAATAAAAAACGCTGATCCCAGATAAGAAATCACAGACACTTTGGATTATTTGAGGGCTTTCAAGCAGAATAAAGCAAATGTTTTAGAAAACATTTGGGCCTTATTTAAAGCATTTATCAGGCTATGAAGTAGGAATATCCAGATGAAAAAGAGGTACTTTTAATAGACCTTGAGAAGAGTCATGACAACACAGAGGGTGAGGGAAAGTTACACACGCTTAGTTCAGCTAGAGGGTTTAGGGAAACCCTATGGATAAGAGGTTTGGGTAGAGTTTCAAAGGCCAAACCATCACTGTGTTTCCTACTGCTCCCCTCCCTCCTAACCCACTCATTATGGAGAGGTTAGTAACTTCTCTTGCTTTGTGTTCCACAGGAGTCCTTCCATCATGGGCATCCTGGCAGCCAACAGGCTCTTCCTGGGAAAGATTGGGTCTGTGGATGGTGGAATGCTGGTCTATGGAGGAGAGAATGTGGAACTTAGTCTGCGGGTGGGTACATTTCCATTCTTCTTATGGGACAAAACAGAGGAGAAATAATAGGAGGGTAGTAGTAGTGTCTCTGGAATCCTGAAACAAGGCTGAATGTCAATGGTTCAAGAGGTGGACAAATCCTCGTTTGTAGGTCACTAGAGAAAGGCACTAGGACTTCAGGAGTGGAGTCTTTTTGATGTAGGTCTATATAATCTGGGACATATCGGAGGAAAGGGTAAAACTGAGGCTCAGCAGATGGTGTCCCCCTTTGTCTTGAGGAATCCAGGCATTTTCCAAACATCTAGAATCAAACAACTCTGTGGCAGACAGCTTTCTATAAGACCAAAGAGAAACTGGGCAGAGGGTCCAGGGGATACAGATGTGTGGACAGTTGAATGGACAGCTAGAACAGCTGACATGATGGCATAGGTCATGCTGAGATGTAGTTTAGTCTAGGACAGATAGCCAATGATGGATTGTACAGCAGTAAAACTCTCGAACCAATTCTCATTCTGACCAACTTCCTGTGCACTGGCTACTCAGCAATGATGCCTCTTCTCTGCTCCAGCTTGACTTTGATGGGGTGGCTCTGAAGGCTTCAGTTTGGAACTAGTGCATTATTTTTTCTTTCCTATTAAATTTGTCGAAGTACATCTTATGGTCAAGCCCAAAGTCAAGGGGTGGGGAGTATCTTCTGTCTACAATGAAGTGATGGAGAAGTGGGGCCAATAAGTTCAACACATCACAATCAGTTTGGAATAGGTCTCATGTAAATCTTAATTCCAAACCCTACTTTTCCACTAGAAAGTTTGTGTTATCCTGGCCAGATACAAACTCCCTAAGCCATACCTGCTGCACAAAGAACCTAGCATGGTGAGTGACATATGGCTTACACTTGATAATGAGTTTATAATAAAAAAAATAATAAGGATGTCAGGATGGCATTGTAAAAAATGCTGGACCTAGGTTCTAATCCTGGCTCTGCTAATTCCCCATTTCTATAAAATGCTCACCTCTGCAATTTCCAGCTCCAAAATTCTGTGCCTGAGTCAGGTGACCTCTGGCCCATTGTGTTTTCTGGAGGAACAAGATAATTTCCTATATAAAGCTTATTCTGTCCTACTCCCTTCAGTTTCTTTTCAATTGAGACTGAAGACCACATATTGCACCCACTTAGGACCCAATCAAGATCCCACATTTATGTGTTAACAAATAAACTTTGAGTCCCTGTCTGGGTTTTCCATTAAGCCACAACCATTCTCTAGCAGAGAGAATTATTGTTTTTTTGCCTGGTGGTCTTGATCAGTATTTCCACTTGTGAAATGGAGATAAGTGTCCCTTTTTTTTTTTAAACTATCTCATAAGAATGATTGTGCAGTTAAAATGTTTTATGAAGATATGAATTAGAATTCTTTTTTGACTTTTGGGACAGAGGCCAAAATAATAGAGGTTTAAATAAGATAGAAATTAATTTTTTTCTTCCATGACTGTTTGAACATAAGTGGTTCAGGATTGAGATGGCAGCTCCAGAGTGATGGGGACCAAGACTCTCCCATCTTGTGGTTCTGCCTCACTCAATATCACATCCAAATCCTAGTTAGCAGGAAGAGAAAGTAGGGAAAGAGAGAGTATGCTCTTCCTCTTTTTTATGAGTTCTACCTGCAAGTTGTGTATATTGTATTTCATTGGCCAGCACTGGTCAGATGGTCATACCTCTATGCAGTCAAGGTGTTGTCCAGGGCTGGGTTCTCAGCTAGGACTGACTGAAGAAGGATCTGCTTCTAGGCTCATGTTGGTATTGGCAGCATTCAGCTCCTTGAAGTCTTCCAGACTGAGGAGGCATTCAGGTTTTGGCTGTCTATCAGTTGGAAGCCACCCTTAGTTTCTTGCACTCTTCATATGGTGGCTCACAACTTGGTGGCTTCCTTCTTCTAAGCCAGCAAGAGAGTGCATCTCCTAGCTCAGTGGCTCTCAACCTTCCTAATGCCGCGACCCTTTAAATCAGTTTCTCATGTTATGGTGACCCCCAACCATAAAATTATTTTAGTTGCTACTTCATAACTGTAATTTTGCTACTGTTATGAATCGTAATGTAAATATCTGATATGCAGGATGTATTTTCATTGTTCATGACCCACAGGTTGAGAACCGCTGCTGGATGGACACTACAATCTTAACTAATGTAATCACACACACATGTAATCGTGTACATACCTTTGCCATATTCTACTGGTTAGAAGAAGATCACAAACCCACACTCAAGGGGAGGGGAGAGAGGAAGGGTGTGAAGATGAGGAGGCAGGGATCATGTGGGCCACCTGTGGTCTGTTCATCACATTGCATAATATCTGGCATGCAGGTCCAGGAGGGGTCATAGGACACTAACTCCAGTGTGATTAGCTCAGGGCTTGGTGCTCCTCAGGACATTGGCACTTTTCTTGAGGATAAGTGAGCAGGGACAGACTGCCAGGACCTTCGCAGTGGGGTTCAGGATTCTAGGAGGGGACGACGCACAAATGAAAATGCTATACAGGAAATATGAATTTAGAAGGCATTGGGGGCCAGGTGGAGCCTCTTTCTTGAAGAGATACACTGAAACTGAGTCCCGTCTGCTTTTATTCAGTTTTAGATACACATCTTGCCCTTAGTAAAGCACAGCAGACAGGTAGCAGACAGACTGTCTCTAAGGTCAATAAAGATCAGTAAAGATCAGTAAGGTCCAGTAAACATTTACTTGGAGACTATCGAGCCACCACTATCTCAACACAAACAATCGGTGCTTAGCGTCAACCCTGCTAATGCTCAAGATCCATCAGCCTTCTGCGTTCCTTGGTGCACTCTCATGATAGTATTGGCAAATGGTGGCTTCCCGCAACAGACCTTCCTTTGGTTTTGTTCGGGAGGATTTCTTAAAGTGGGTAGGATTTCTGGAACTGTCTGAATGACAGGAGAGAAGAAGTTTGGTAAACTTCTAAGGATTGTTTTAGATAAGTGGTTTGGGGGGTAACATAAAGATGGGAGTGGGAGGACTGAATTTATGTTCTTTAAAAAATGGGTCCAAAATATTGGTCTCTGTGCATCAGTAAGCAATGCTATTTATTAGCTGTGGCACCAAGACTGTCCAGATGATTTTTTTCCCTTCTCTTGCAGGTGTGGCAGTGTGGGGGGAGAATTGAGGTTTTGCCCTGCTCCCGGATTGCTCACATAGAGAGACATCACAAGCCCTATGCCTTGGACCTGACTCCTGCCATGAAGCGCAATGCTCTCAGAGTGGCCGAAATCTGGATGGATGAGTACAAATACATGGTCTACTTGGCCTGGAACATACCACTCCAGGTTTGTCATGGCACTGAATAGAACCAGGAGGAGGAGGTGGTGGTCGTGGTGGGAAATGGGAAGGGATACAGCAAAAGTGTCATCCCAGCCCTAAAGAATAAGGATAACATCCAGATGGTGTGATGATGATGACACAACATTTATGTAGTAAGACTATGTTCCAGACTCATTAATTATCACAACATGCTTAGAGGGTAGGTTTTATTTTTAATTTTATGTATTTTTAAAATTTTCTATTACAGTTGACATTCAATGTTATGTTAGTTTCAGGTGTATATCATAATGCTTAGCACTTATATAACTTACCTGGCACAGTACATAGTTATTACAATATTCCCTATGCTGCACTTTACATTCCTGTGATTAATTTGTAACTCCCAATTTTTACTTCTTAATCCCTTCACTCTTTTCACATAGCTCCCAAACCCCCTCGCATCTGGCAACCATCAATTTGTTCTCTATATCTATGAGTTTATTTCTGTTTTATTTGCTTATTTACTTTGTTTTTTATTTTCCACATAGAAGTGAAATAATGTGATATTTGCCTTTCTCTGTTGGACTTACTTCACTTAGTCTAAATACCTTCTGTGTACATACATGTTGTCACAAATGGCAAGATTTTATTCTTGTTTATGGCTAAGTAAAATTCCATTGAATATATACCACATCTTCTTTATCCATTTGGACACTTAGGTTGCTTTTAGACTTTGTTGCAAATAATTCTGCAATGATCATAGGGTCCATATATTTTTTTCAAAACAGTGTTTTGGATTTCTTCAAATGAAAACTCAAAAGTGGAATTGCTGGGCTATTTGGTAGTTCTTTTGCTTGCCTCCGTTTTGTTTAGTCCTTTTTCTGGAGTTTTGTCTTGTTTAATTTGGGATATGTTTTTTTCTTCTCTTTTTTGACTACCTCCTGTGCTTGTTTCTATGTATTAGGTAGATCTGCTATGTCTCCCAATCTTGGGAGGATCACCTTATATAGTAGGTGTCTTAATGGGTTCAGTGGCACAGTCTTCCCGGTCACCTGAGATGGGTGTGCCAGGACTGTCCTTTGTATGGGTTGTGTGTGCCTTCCTGTTGTAGTTGAGCCTTGATTTCTGTTGGCACATCAGTGGGTGAGATTGACCCCCAAGCTGACTGGATGTGAGGGCTGACCATGGCTACAACAGACAACCTGTTGGTGTGTGAATGACCTCATAGAATGGGGTTCATCTGGGGCTCTGGTGTCTGCTGAATTTGCCCTTTCAGTGTGTCATTTGTGGAACTAATTGGGGGGTGCTCTGGTGTGGTCTGAAGCTGGCCACTGGGTGTGTTGCTTCTGGGGCCTCTTGAGAAGAGCTCCAGTGTTAGCCAAAGTAAGCTGCTGCCTGCCTGGCCTGGGGTCACCTGGTAGGAGCTACAAAATGATCGGTGGTTGGTAGCTCCCTCTGTTGGGTTGGAGGCATCTGGGACCAGTCATGCTATGGACCGAGTGTGACTGCCACTCATGCCAAGCTTGGGGCTGATTAGCAAGAGGTGCAGGGCATGAAGAGGCTACCTACTGCTTGTTTGGGGTTTGTAAATCTTTGAGAGATTTTAGGAACGTCCACAGCTCATGCCAAGGTTGGTTGCTTGTGAGGAACAGCCTTGGAAAAAGATTCATGCTGAAAGAGAGTTCAGTGAGGTAAGGTCTCGGGGAATCACTAGGGAGTGGCAATTGGGGTTAGCCAGGCTGATGGAGATTCAGATGTAGTGCACACCTGTGTCTGCCTGCTGTGTGGGGAGAGGGCTCAATAAAGGAATAATGGCACCTGTCAGTTCTTCTGTCCATGAGAGAGCTGCCCTTCCTTCCCTCTCTCTGAAGCCAGTCAATTCAGTTTCTCCCCATATATCCCTGGTGCTTTCCAAGCTGCTGTCCCTTTGCTGGAGCTTAGGGCAAGTGTGAGTGAGTTTTCGCTTGGGTTCTTTAAAAGGATATCTGGTCTACAGCAGCCCTGTGTCTCACCTAGATGGACTTCCTGCTGATTTTCACAGACAGATATTGTGGGGACTCCTATTCCTAGCGCTGGTCCTTCGGGCTGGGGAGTGAGGTGTAAGCCAGGACCCCTCCCTCCCCAGAGAGGGCCTTCACAGCTGAGAAGGTCTTACCTACCACATGTGGGTGTGGGGCTAGCCCATTTTGCATCTGCGCCCCTCCTACCCTCTATATATCCTTCTTCTTTATATCCTTAGTTATAGCAGTTCTGTTCAGCTAGTCTTCAGGTGGTTCTCCAGGGTGGCTGTTCTATAATTTAGTTGTAGTTTTGATGTGGTCGTGGGAGGAAGCAAGCACAGACTCTTCCTTGGGTAGGTTTTATTTTTATTATTCTAAGTTTACAGATGAAGAAACTGAAGCACAGAGAATTGAAAGAAACTTGTTTAAGGTAATAAGGTAGTAAGTGACTGAGATAAGATTCGAACCAAGTAATCCTCTACATTTCTTGTTCATCCATCATCATTACTGGTGGAATCTTTATGGTACAGGGTTGGACATCAGGAACTCACTGTCTTAAGAGGACATAAACACGGTAGGCAGGATGTGAGATGGTGGGAATAGAGACTATAATCCTGTTGGATGCACATGAATGCGGATGACCTTCTTGGCTAAGGCCATACATTGTCCCTGCCACTGGAGTTCAGGGTGATTTGCTATCTTCTGCCTCTAAGCTGTGGCTCTGGGCTCAAATATTCTTTCAGTTTGATTCCCCACAGATATCACTTTTAGAAAATGCCACTTAACCACCAAAATCTTGCTGCCAGAATATTGCTTTTGAAAGCCTTTTCTGGCCATCATGAGTAGTATTTTGTGTTTTACTGATATAAATATGATTTCTAAGAGGAGCAGCCTGCATTAGCTTGCTAATGATGAGAAAGAAACCTGAGTGACCCCACTACACAGGCCTTGCAAGTGCCTTTGAGGCCAATGTGGTTCCTAAGGTTCAAGCTGTTTTCACTTTCCCCGGAAAACTATGCATTATAAAGGTTACTTTATAGACCATCAGAAAAATACCCCCTTCCCTCAGGCATCATCCATACCCTTTGATGGAGCCAAGGACATTACACAGAAACATTCCATGTTTTATTTACACAGAAACACTCCGTGTTTTACTTACAGAACTCTGGAATCGATTATGGAGACATTTCTTCCAGAATGGCACTCCGGGAAAACCTGAAATGTAAAACTTTTGACTGGTATCTGAAAAATGTTTATCCAGTCCTGAAGCCAATCCACAACATTGTAGGCTATGGAAGAGTACGTATTATGACATTGCATTTCAGATTTTAAATATTTGACTGTGACAGACAATGAAACCTGAGTCACATGACTACCCAGAAAAGGGTTTCCCAAACGCATCCTGTCCAAGATTCTCTTCCTGTCCCCCAACTCCTTCCCTTGGGCCCTCTCAGTTCCTGTTACCTCTTACTCCACAGTTCCCATCTCCTTTCCTTCTCTCTGCCTCTACTTCCTTACTTGGCAGCCCTTGCTCTGCCTCTCCCGTTTCTCAGCCAATCAGGGTGTTTGGCCTCACCCACCTGAAGGTGGCTGTAGGTGTCCCTTCTTTATATATGTTGTGATGGTCCCAGTGGGCGGGCATTCCCAGGAAGTGGGGATCATAGCAGGGCCTCACTTCAGCATTTGTCTTAGAAATTTGCTTAGAAAAATTGCTGTCAGGATAGCAAACTGCTGGTCCCTTTGGCTGGTAATTCCTGGCCCCGTGGAGCACTGGAGAAAATGCAGGGTCTGGGAGGCTTGGTACTGTTTCTCCAACTCTTTCCAATCATGTTGTCATGTGTTTTGCTCCTTCAGATAAAAAACTCGCTGAGTGAAAATGACTGCCTGGATCGGGGCCCTATTAAGGGCAAGACCCCCATCATGTATTTTTGTAATGAATACAGTCCACAGGTATCTTCCACAACCTTCTTTGCCTGGACAGGATGAGTCTGTTGAGGCTCAGCCCTAGCAACCTTTGCCAGATTTGGACTCAGTGCCAGATGTCAGGGAGGCAGGAGCTGGGGATCCTGGGTAATGAGTCATGGTGAAACCCCAACCTGTACGTTTAACTAAGCACTTCCAAGTTCATTCAAAAAGTTATGGCAGGACAGTTCTATTTCAGATATGGGTAGCGAAGGTGAAAAGGCTCTGATCTGTTGCATTCATTCTCCATGGTAATATTTTTTTTTAAAATAGATTTTATTGATTTTTTACAGAGAGGAAGGGAGAGAGATAGAGAGCTAGAAACATCGATGAGAGAGAAACACCGATCCGCTGCCTCCTGCACATCTCCCACTGGGGATGTGCCTGCAACCAAGGTACATGCCCTTGACCGGAATCGAACCTGGGACCTTTCAGTCCGCAGGGCGACGCTCTATCCACTGAGCCAAACCGGTTTTGGCGGTAATATTTTCATTGACAAAACCTTCAATTCCTTTTTCCCCTCTTCCCACGGCCTCCCTCCGCTCCCACCCCCCACTGCTCCTTGTGTGGGAAGGTGGGGAGCTGTGGCTTCTTCCATAGAGAAGGAAAGAGGGGCTAGAGAAGAGAGTCCCTGACGGAATGGGAGTCCTTCCAGGGGATAAGAGAGATCTGGAACTAAGTGGGAGGTGTAGCAGGGGACTTCTTTTTCCCTGAGACTACTCACAGCTGTCATGTTACTTCGCATGTTGCCCTCACAGGAACCTCTTGAGGGATGCAGGGTAGAAAGCATTTCCACTTGATGAATGAAAAAAAAAAAGCTGTGACACAAAACAACTTACTTGTTTGAGCTCACTGAGCAAGGGAGGGTCAGATTGAAAATTTGAAAGGTTTCCTAACAGCAAGCTCATAGTGGAGGCTTCCGATGACACCTAATGAAGTTCAGTTGAGTATTTTTCCCCCAAAGATAAGCTCCCTCATCCACGCAAGCCACGATTCTGTTGGGCTCCCTGTATGGAAGGAGGCAGGCTAGTGCTCCCTCCTCATGCCTGGTCTTCTCCCTGGAATCAACGGGGGTGGTGGGAGAAAGAAACTGAGGGTACTACTTGTTACTCAGGAAAAGTCAGTGCGCCCCCTGGTGACTGAGTGTCCACGGGACCCGTAAGCAGTCTTTATGTCCACTATCTGGGTCAAGGGCCTCTCCACAGACTGTGTCTACCGCAGATCGCCTTGCTGTCTTTTAGAAAGTCTACTACCATCTAACCGGGGAGTTGTATGTGGGATCGCTGATTGCAGAGGCAAATGCCGAGGACTGCTGCCTGACAGACCCTGGCAGTGGGGAGAATCCCACTTTGGAGCCATGTTCCAAGGCAGCCCAACATGGACTGCACATATATTGGGATTTTAAGCCGGTGAGTCATGTACTTTTTAAAGGAGTCATGTACTTTTTATATCCTTTAAATATAATCTGAGAGATTCATATTTGATTTCATAGTGTTTTAGAAAGACTCAGTTTGTGACAGTGTGTAGGGAAAACATCGGAAACAGGGAACTGGGTATGAAACACCGAGTCTGTTGACTAAGGTGTGTGTTGAAGGGAAAAAAATCTGGAAACTGTCATAGTTTAACAGTTAAGCATTTGGGTTCAAATCATAGTTCAGTTACATTTAGCAATTTTGTTGCCCTCTCTGAGACTCAGTTTCCTCATCCATAAAATGGAAATAGTATTGACTTTATGGGTTGGGAGGATTAAATGAGATAACATGTGTAAAGCATTTTAGCATAGTGCCTGGCACATAGAAAGTATTCAATAAATACTAGAGGCCTGGTGCATGAAATTTGTGCACTGGGGTGGGGGTGGGGGGGGCTGTCCCTCAGCCTGGCCTGCACCCTCTCACAATGTGGGGCCCCTCAGCGGATGTCAGGGATCCCTGCAGGATCAGGCCAAAACTGGCAGTCGGATATCCCTCTTGCAATCCGGACTGCTGGCTCCTAACCGCTCGCCTGCCTGCCTGATCGCTCCTAACTGCTCACCTGCCTGCCTGATCACCCCTAAACCGCCTCTGCCTCGGCCTCTGCCACTGCGGCTTCATCCGGAAGGTCGTTCAGCTGTCTGGTCTAATTAGCATATTATGTTTTTATTATTATAGACTAGAGGCCCAGTGCACAAAATTTGTGTCCCTCTGCACCCTCTTCAATCTGGGACATCCCTCTCACAATCCAGGATTGCTGGCTCCCAACCTTCCAGATGTCCTCTGAACAAAGCCATGGTGGTGGGGCCGAGGCAGAGGGGGTTAGGTGTGATCAGGCCGGTAGGGGGGCAGTTGAGGACAATCAGTCTGGCAGGGGTGGGCAGTTAGGAGTGATCAGGCCAGAAGGGGGGGCAGTTGGGGGTGAGCAGGCCAGCGGGGGGGGCAGTTGGGGGTAAGCAGGCCAGCATGGGGGGCAGTTGGGGGCAAGCAGGCTGGTGGGGGGGAAGATGGGGGTGATTTGGCTGACTTGGGGGCAGTTGGGGACAATCTGTCTGGCAGGGGTGGGCAGTTAGGGGTGATCAGGCCAGAAGGGGGGCAGTTGGGGGCGAGCAGGCTGGTGGGAGGGGGGCAGGTGGGAGTGATCAAGCTGGTGGGGGGGCAGTTGGGGGTGAGCAGGCCAGAAGGGGGGCAGTTGGGGGCGATTTGGCTGTTGGGGGGGCAGTTGGGGACAATCAGTCTGGCAGGGGTGGGCAGTTGGGGTTGATCAAGCCAGCAGGCAGAGTGGTTAGGGGCAATCAGGCAGGCAGGCAGGTGAGCTGTTAGGAGCCAACGGTCCCGGATTGTGAGCGGGATGTCCAACTGCCAGTTTAGGCCTGTGGGATTGGGCCTAAACCGGCAGTTGAACATGCCCCGAGGGGTCCCAGATTGAAATGGGTGCAGGCCGGGCTGAGGGACATCCCCCCCCACCCCTGTGCATGAATTTCGTGCACTGGGCCACTAGTAAATTATAATAGCCAAGATTTATTGAGTATGTATTCTGTACCAGGCACTGGATTAAACATGATCTTTACATAAATTGTACATAAATTTTATAAGAGAAGTATTATTGTTAGCTCTACTTTAGCTATGTTGTAACTAAAGCACAGAGAAGTCACATAATATTCCCAAGGTCGCATAGCATAGTAAATGCTGTGGGTTCAAAGACAGAATCTTATCCACTATTTGTTATTGCCTCGTTGCTTAGGAAGTTTGTTTCTGAAAGGGAGAAAAACGCTGAACGTTGGTTTGAAAAGGTAGAGTTAAGGGTGTTTCCCCCTCACCCTCCCTTTTATATTGGGACATTTGCATTTGTTTAAAGTCAGTAGAAAAGGAAGCTGCTAAGAGAGAGAAATAAAGGAAGGATGTTAGACAGGAAGAGTGTTTTTTTCTATATATGTCAAGTGCGGCTGGGCTCAGAGCACAGGGGCTGCTGGCAGTAGAGACAGAAGCAGGGCAGCTCCTCTGAGACCACCCATGTCATTTGGGCGAGGGGTCGACTGACTGGAAGCGGGGTCTTCTGACCAAGTGAAAACTAAAGGCATTGAGTGAAAGGGACAAAGCCTGCTAAGGAGACCTGGAGGAGTAGCCCTAAGGAGTAAGCCAAGTGCTGAGGCCAGACTGCTGTAGGCACATTTGTGGGCTAGGTCCACTCCACTCCAATGGTGGCCCTGTGTTGTCTGAAAGTGGGGGCCAAGAGAAAGGAGCAGTGGGAGTGGGAAGAGTTCAAGAACCGGAGAGCCACCTTGAATGGTGATGCTGGACGGATGCATCGTGGGAGGTGGGGGTGGAGGGAGTCCAGTGTGGCCAGGGCAGGTGACATTTGGGGACAGGGTTGTTGGGGGCAGTTTGTGATTGGAAGAGAAGAGAGGTATGGAGCTGATGGCTAGGGAGGGAGCAGGGATGTGGCCTTAAGAATGTGGTCTCTGTCTCAAGATGCTCAATAAACATTAAACCTAACTGTAACCCTAATATTACTTCTCAACCCATTCTATAGATGAGGAAATTGAGACTAAGGCAGGTTAGGTAATTTGCCAAAGGCCTCTCTGTAGATGTTTGAGCAGGGATTTAACAAGGATGTTTTAGCTCCAAAGCCTGCAACATTCCCAGTAGTAAACTCTCATGAAGCCCCCACGTGGGAGAAGTAGGAACTGCCTCAGAGTGATGGAGAAAATAGGCTGAGATTCCTGAACGTAGCTCCCACTCCAGTCCTACCACAGAGCCTCACTGAAGAAGGAGGAAGAATCCTAATGGGTGTTACAGGCTCAGAGCTGCAGGTGTGAAAAGGAAGGTCAGTCATGGCTCTCCAAGGGGCATCATGTCTTGTCAGTCACACTGACCTGATGCTCAATCTTGGGAGAGGCAGATGATAACATCAGAGCCCAGCACTGCAGTGCTTACCCCAGACCTATGGTTAGGTTACTACAGGGCTTGGAGAGAAAGCACTGGGTGACCTGAAGCTACACTTTGCTTCCTTTGTCCTCTGGATGGCTTGCAGAGAATCGAGGGACCCTCCAGCTTTTTTTGTGAGCAGAGCAGAGAGAGTAGGCACAGGGAGGTGAGGCATGGCTAGGGCATTTCAATACCTTGATTGTCTCTCCTCCCATCCAGGGAAGAGCCCTCATAAACAGGGCCACCAAACGATGTCTGGAGTTAAAGAAGGCTTCCAGTTATTATATGCCTGTGCTGCGGCCCTGCACCACACAAGTGTGGACAATCCAACACACCATCGGAAACTGGGGGTCCAACTAGCATCCAGCGATCCTCAGAGAGCCTAGATTTGAGACACCAATTCTTGCCACTGAATGGCTTCTATTCCCAATTCTGTTCAGAGTGCCAGTGGGTGAGAGAAAGAAAATGTGTGTGTGTGTATTTACTGTGACTTCCGCCTGTGACACACAGGATGTGGTAGGGGAGGGCTGTGGATGTGTCCTGGAGTCCTGGCCGGGGAGAGTAAGGAAACTACAACACTTCACCCCAGCTTCCCTTGGAATTATATATATCAAATGCCATTCTTGGAAACTCCTTGAAATAACCACCTTCATCTGGCTGGCGTGTGGGGGAGAGAACCAGGAGGATGGAAGATTATCTTTGACTTCCACCAGCGCTGGCTGGTCTTCATTCCTCATGACTACGGTTGTCATCTACCCCTCACCTTCTCCTCATCTGCTCGGAGCTCCGCCGCCTTGGGGCTGCCACACTGCAGATGCCCAGTCATCACCGTGGCAGCGAGACGCCTACTCAGGGGCCGCCCACTCTCTGAAGCCATGTCGCTGCTCCTACTCTCTTTTCTGGGCTGTCCTGAAAGATACAACAAATAGACAAGGAATCTTAGAAATTCCTGTGTTTATCCACTCACAGCAGTTTTATTTGATTACCCAGTCTCTCCAGTACCAACGAGGTTCCAGAGGCTGAGCGCAGCTCATCAGCTCTGCACAGTGCAGAGAGAATGGTGGAGACATCCAAGTATCTGGATCTTTCTCCAAGTAGCTCACACTATTTAATAGATTTGATTACCCATTTCCTTCCACAATCCTGAAAATTAGAGAAAATGAGGTTTGAAACGGAGAGGCATCACTTACTGGGACACAAAGGAAGGACTGTAGGACAAACTTGAAACCAGGACTCCTTACTAACATCACTGGGTGAGTCCTTTCCCCCAGCTGGCGAGGTGGGAAGACATGTCCAGGGCAGCCAGTTTGGGCTAGGTTAAAGGATGGGAGCGGGCTCCATGGGGGAGGGAAGGTAGAGTGACCGTGTGTGTGTGTGTATGTATGTGTGTGTATGTATGTGTGTATGTGTGTGCATGTGTGTATGTGTGTGTATGTATGTGTGTGCATGCGTGTGCGTGTGTATGTGTGTGTCTGTATGTATGTGTGTGTATGTGTGTATGTGTATGTGTGTGCGTGTGTTGTGGGCTCAGCTTTCAAGTATGAACTTAAGGGCCCCTTCTTCAGTGGTCACTTTGACCCCTTGTCTCACATCAAAGCTCTGTGGGAATCATTAATTTCCCTTTAGACAATGGGTAAGGAAGACACTGTTAATTGAGTACAAAATTAAATCAGCTAGAATTTTAAAAAATAAGCTTTTAGAAGTGTACAAGTCATAATTGTACAGCTTGACAACATTGTCACAGTGAACACGGTGTCAAAAATGAAAACAATGCCACAGATAAGATTTTATCATGAAAAATTACAGAACAGGAAAAATGTTAAGCAAATGTATAACTTCTAGCTTCTCCCTAGTAAATTGAAAAAAAAATGCAATTCCTAGCAAAGTTTTTCAAAAAGCATGTGTCCAATAGGAAAATATACAAAAGACACAGTATCTTAAACATATGAAAAGATGTTTAACATCACTCATAGTTAGAGAAATGCAAATTAAAACTGTACTGAGATAATTTTTCACTTAAATTGGTGAAAATTAAAAAGTATGACAGCACATTCTGTTGGCAAGATTATGAGAAACAGGGAGCCTCACACTGTGATGTAGGGGTGATATAGGGGTACAAGCTGGTTCAGTCCTTTTGGAGAGATATTTGGCAGTATCTAAAAAGATTATATGTACATTTTAAATTTGTGCCAATAATTCTACTTCAAGGAATTTACACCTCCGAAAAGAAGAAAATAGTTACGTACAAAGTAATTATTTGAGTGTTGATAAGTGTTGGAAACAAAATGTATGCTCCAACATCAGAGAGTGGTTGAATACATTACCACAGTGGAGTACTATGCAGCTATAAAAAGAAGCAGACACATTTCTTTTGAACTGATATGGAGCAATTTCCAGTGTGAAAAAGGAAAAATGGCATCTGTACTATGTATCTTTTAGGTAAGAAATAAGGAAAAGTTATGCATGTACCAGTTTATTTATGCAAAATGAAACATAAAGATAAATCAGAAATGACATTGCTCACTGATGGGTGGTGGTTGGAAATAGTGTGGAAGGAACTGGGGAGGGGGATAGGGTAGAATGGTTGTGGGAGGAGTGATACTTCTCAAAATATACATTTTTTTTATAGGCCAGGCTTTTAAAACCATGTTATATTTTGTATGCTCAAACATACATACATAAAACCAGTAGGGAAAGAGGGAAACACAATGGGATGCAAACAAACACAAGTGAACCTAACTATATTCCTCTAGTTTAAGTGAATACACACTCATTCTAACCATAGTCAGCATTCAGCCTCCGATTCTCGATTCTGAAATATTTTCCAGTAAGAGGAATTAGGGCTCCTTGGAGATATCACTAATTTTAGGCTTGGGGGGCTGGGATGTTTTGATGGCGACATGTCACAATTTACAGCAGCTAGGCTCAAGGGGTTCCCACTGGTCAGATCTTCGATAATTAAAAGAATTAAAATAAATTATTTTTATTCAATATACTAGAGGCCTGGTGCATGGATTCGTGCACCATTGGGGTCCCTTGGCCTGGCTTGCACCCTCTCGCAATTTGGTACCCCTCGGGTGATGTCAGAGGCCTAGTGCATGGATTTAGCCCAATTCCCACAGGCCAGGCTGAGGGACCCCACTGGTGCACAAATCTGTGCACCAGATCTCTAGTATGCATATGAGATCTTTGGTTAATTTCTTTCCACCATCTGCCTCCCCGCTTCCCTCTCAGATTCATCAGTCTGTTCCATGTTTCCATACCTGTGCATTGAGCATCTGCCCCCTGGTGGTCAGTGCATGTCATAGCTACCGGGCAAATGGTCACTTAGGCTTTATATATAGAAATTACAAGCCATACAATAAAATAAGAATCCACGAGTTCATACAAATGAATGCATGGATGAATGAATGGATAAACAAGGAAAAAAGAAAGTTCTTCTTTATGGCAGAATGTCAACTAAAAATTGTAGGAAGAATTATGGATTTGGAAAATTATTTGACAACCCACATAACCAAAGTTATTTCAGGCAAGAAACACCAATGGATGTTAAAAGTAGTGGGTGTTGAGAAACAGGATACATACATAACATCAGAGTAATTCCCCAGAAGGCATTTATTAACTACAAAGAAAAAATAGTAATTTCAATGTGGAGAAACTGGGCAAACACCATCCTAACTAAGTGATCAATGTTCACATCACTAGTTACTGAAAAAATGGATATCACGTGCCTCTCAAAATGATTCACCCAGAAGAATACATCATTTCTATGGTATTCCTGACCAAAATACAGAACTTGAATCTATAATCTTGAGGCAACATCAATTAAATCCAAATTGAGGGACATTCTTCAAAATAAATGGTCTGTATGCTTCAAAAATTTCAAAGTCAAAATACAAAGAAAGATTGAGGAACTGCTCGGAATAAAGGGGACTAGAGGGACATAACAACTAAATGTAATGTGTGATTCTGTAGCAGAATCTGGGACTGAGGGCAAATTATTTTTCCTTTGGTTGTAAAGGATAACAGGGGATAACTGGTGGAATTTAAGTAAAACTTGGTGATTAGCTAATAGTCCTGTATCAATGTTATCTTCCTGATTTTGATCATTGTACCCCAGCTATATGAAAATGTCCTTGATTTTATGAAATACTCACTGGAAGATGGATTGCGGGGAATTATCTATGAGATTTTATATGTATGGATAGATAGATAGATAGATAGATAGATAGATAGATAGATAGATAAATAGCAGTGAATGGACAGGTGGACGACAAACAAACAGATGGAACAAACAAATAGTGGAGCAGAAAATAATAAAACAAATGGGGCAAAGTGAATCTGGATGAAAGGTAAGGGATATACAAATATTCTCTGTACTATGTTTGCAACTTTCCTATAAGTCTGAAATTATTTCAAAATAAAAAGATTTAAAAATGTCTGTCTAGGTATACATTAAATATCTCTTCCTGTTGAACTGCTTCTATAAGCTGTGCTGCTTAGTCTAACTTTGGTGCTCTTTGTTCGCTGAGGGAATCTGTGATTCTCTCAAACCCACAGCTAGGACAACAGAAAGCGGCTCGGGTGCCCACTGTGCCAGATCTCGGCTTCCTGCAGCTGCTCTGAAGTTAAAGCAAGGACGGTGTCCATGTGCTTCTTTGCACCTGAAACCACCTATATACTTGTCCAAAGTTCTGCATGAAATGCTGCTTTTCTGCTCACTGTCTGTCACCAGCCTTTGTTGACCAGAACACTGTGAAGGTCATCTCAGTGACTATCTTTAGTCCAGTCAGGAGACTGTTCCCTTGGTAACCAAGTTCATTTTTCACTGATTCTTCTCTCTCTCTGATTTTTGGGACTGTTGGAGCTCTACTATAAGTTAAAGTAGCCTTATAGATGCAGAAATATGACAGGTTGACACACAAGGCATCTTACAACCCCAGCAGAGAAGTAATTCTGTGTTGGCCCCATGAGTAGAATCCCTGGAATCGTGGTCCTGCCAGTGCCCTTCCTCTGCTCAGATAGGGATCGTCCCTGGGGTGTTCCACATGTCCCTTTCTCTCCTCAGCCCACATTGCCTCTGGGGCTGTGGGTGGGTCCCTGGTTGACCCCTGATGGCCATGTGGCGAAGCCACGCCGACAAGCATCCGGAAGGAACCACACCTCAGTTACCCCATGCTCCTTTCAGCCTTGTAGTGGCAGGTTTGCTTCCTCTTTTCATGCCCTCTGTCCAAAACTAAAGGCACAAAGCAGCTGTGCTTGGTCCCTTCAGGTCCCCACAGAAGCCCAGGGGTACAGCTGGGATTTGCCCCTCTCCTTATCGCAGCTGATTCTTCTCGAGATGTGTGTAGAAGCACTGGGAAGGCCACGGCACGTTACTAAAAGGCGAGTCCCACTGCCAGTCTGGGCAGCATTTTCTTCCAAAGCAGAAGGCTGTGAGTCCTGTCTCTCAGGGACTCTTGTTACCCAATCAATGAGTTCTCTGCTCTAACTGGCCACCGGGGCCATTGTCTTCTGACACAGCCTGGCCAGGAGCCCTTCCATCTGCAGAAGAGAGTTCACACCTTCGGCTATCTTCATATGAGTGTATCTAATTTCCTTAATAAACTCCAGTTTCAAGTATTCTGCCATTTGGAAGGTTTTACACACTAGAAAAATGTTGCCAATGATGTCTTCTGGTGAATAGCCAAGATGCCACAGGTGAGCGAGAATCTTGTAGGCTTCGTCAGTATTGGCATTCACACAGTGCTGGATCATCTCCTTCACCTTGAACACATTCTCACTGTTAATGAAGCCAAATCCTGAGAAAGTAGACTGCAAGTTGTTCAACACCTGCCGCATGTCTCCCTGGGCAGTGAAGATAATGGCTTCAAGACCAGTGTACTGCACATTCTCCTTCTCAATCATGTTCATTAACCTGGTAAGGACCTGGTTATTGGTCAGCTTTGTGTAGCGGAGGACAGCGCACCTGGACTGAATGGCTCTATGATTTTATCTGAAGCATTATAAGCAAGAGCAAAGCAAGTTGTTTTGGAGTAGATTTCCATGGTTTTCCTCAAGGCTTGCTGGGCTCCATCAGTCATGCTGTCTGCTTCATCTAGGATGATGATCTTATGTTGTCCTTTGGGAAGGGTGACTTTCTGTTGGGCAAACATTTTAATTTGTTTCTCACAACATCAATGCCCCTGTCATTTGAGGCACTGAGTTCCAAAACAGCATCCTTGAGAGCTGGGCCCAGAAGGGCTCGTGCCAAACACAGGATGCTTGTAGTTTTGTCAGTTTCTGGGGGGCCAGCAATGATAATACTGGGCACATTCCCTTCTTGTGCAAAGACCTGCCAGTTTCTGTAGACTTGGCAAGGCACAAAACAGGGTTGGCTAGACGGAAACCATGGGCCTATCTTGTGACCCTATTAGGCTATCTGGAGTGGATAGGCTAGTGCCTAGTCAGACCAATACTTCTCTCACAGCAGCTCATAGTGGTTGGCACTGCTGGGGGCCTTGCTGGGGATAGGGGCAGGGTCCTGGACCCTGTGCTTGGCCACCCCACTGTAGCTCTCCTCCACCTCCATTCTCCTGCTGCCTCTTACCGCAGGCCAAGCTGAGGGACCCCACCAGTGCATGAATCTGTGCACTGGGCCCCTACTATGCATATAAGATCTTTGGTTAATCTCTTCCTGCCCTTCCCCTTTCCCCCTTCCCTCTAAGATTCATCAGTCTGTTCCATGTTTCCATGCCTGTACATTGAGCATTTTCCCCCTGGTGGTCAGTGCATGTCATAGCTACCAGTCAAATGGTTGCTTAGGCTTTTATATATATAGACTAGAGGCCCTGTGCACAAAAATTTGTGCACTTGGGAGGAAGGGAGTTCCCTCAGCCTGGCCTGTGCCCCCTCGCAGTCTGGGACCCCTCAGGGGATGACCATCTGCTGGCTTAGGCCCGCTCCCCGGGGAATTGGGCCTAAGATGGCAATCAGACATCCCTCTGGCAGCCCGGCAGCCCATGGAGATGTCCACTTGCCAGTGGGGACAGGCCTAAACTGCAGTCGGACATCCTTAACGCTGCTGAGGAGGCAGGAGAGGCTCCCACCACCACAGCTGTACTGGCAGCATCAGCCTGGCTTGTGGCTGAGCAGAGCTCCTCCCAGGTGAGAGCGCCCTGACCACCAGAGGGCAGCTCCTGCATTGAGCATCTGCCCCCTGGTGGTCAGTGTGTGTCATAGTGACCAGTCATTCCCAGTCATTCTGCTGTTTGGATCAGTTTGCATATTACCCTTTTACTATATAGGATAGAGGCCTGGTGCACGGGTGTGGGCCGGCTGGTTTGCCCTGAAGGATGTCCCGGATCAGGGTGGGGGTCCCGCTTGGGTGCCTGGCCAGCCTGGATGAGGGGCTGATGGCTGTTTTCAGGCTGCCCACATCCCCTTTAGTGTGGGGGTCCCGCTTGGGTGCCTGGCCAGCCTGGATGAGGGGATGATGGCTGTTTGTAGCTGGTCACACCCCCTTCAGGGTGGGGGTTCCCACTGGGGTGCCTGGCCAGTCTGGGTGAGGGGCTGAGGGCCGTTTTTAGGCTGGTGGGCAACTGAAGCTCCCAACCTCTCCTTTTTTTCTTTCTTTTTTAAATTCTGGGATTTATTTTCCTTCTATGGCTGTCACTGGAACTGAGAGCTGGCTTTAGCTCTGAGGCTCGGCTCCAGCTCTGAGACCTCGGCTGCTGAAAGCAGGTATCTACATTTGTTTGGCTTCTATAATTGAAACACTGTTGCAACTCCAGCTCTGAGGCCCGGCTGGCCGAAAGCAGGTTTCTGGGGTTTGTTTAGCTTCTATAATTGCAACATTGTTTTTTAGACTGCAGCTCAGAGGCCGGCAGCGGCAGGCAGTGAACCTTGGCTTCCTCCATCACTGGAGCAAGCAAGCCTCTTGTTCGCTTCAGCTGCCTGGCTGCCGGCCGCCATCTTGGTTGGCAGTTAATTTGAATATCGCCCCTATTAGCCAATGAGAAGCGTGTCGGAGGTATGGTTAATTACCATGTTTGTCTATTATTAGATAGGATTACAAACCATACTATTAAATAAGAATCCATG